ATCTAAAGGGTATTAAAAATTACAAAGAAAAGCTTAATATTTATTTGTTACTTTATTAAACATTTCTTTCAGCGTAAGCTGTTTAAGTTGCTTTGTTTTTCATCTGATAATACATTCTCTTTAATTCTATAAACAGACATAATTTCTTGTTCAGTGACAAAGTTCCGCTGTTCAAGTCCTATAATTGCTGTGTCGAGAATACCGACTAATGTGTCAATCGAAATTTTTTTGTTTTCAATAACCTCTGTCACTTTCTTCGCTATTGGAAGCGAATTATAATGACGAGGAATCTGATTTAAATCATATCAAAGACGGAGTACATCGAGATGAAATATTACATTTAGTAAGGAATTATAAGCCACATAAAATAAAAACATCTGCCCTGAAGATAAGGATAGTGCTGACAGATCAACTTCCAATTCATTGCGCGCTGCGGCGTTAAAGATAAACAAAGTTTAGATAAACAAAGGATATGCCTTTATCCATTTTTTGCAGCAATTCCACTTTTTGTTTAATGGACTTCGAAACATACTTTCGCTTTGTAGATCCTTTACATATTAGTAAATATACATCAGAAATTCTATTTGACATAATCGAAAGTTCAAGCTTACTTTTATAAAATTGCTCTAACAGTCTGCAAAAAATAATAAGCCGAATCCAATTCGAAGATTGAGGAACAATGCAATCTGCAACATTAACTGAATTAGATAATTTCAGCTTAGCTTATACCGTCCGTTATACATTAAACGCACATTCGTAAACGTATTTTGCGCATGCACACACGTGTATTCGCAGCCATAAAGGTCTTACGTGCATGCGTCAACGCAAGGCATGCACAGAAAGTTTGTAGCTTGGAGGTACGGATTATGGGTGTCCGAATTAACGACTTTTGACTGTATTTTTTCATAACCATATCTCTGACTGAATGAACTATTGTCACAGCCAACAATTCATGATGAACAGCGTATTAGCTCTCTTTTTGGTTTCAGTGGTTAAAAACAGTTCATAAATGTTATTTCTGTGCACACTTTATATACACTGGTTCATACCTTATAAACAGTCAAAGCAGTAGCGTAGCTAGGGTGGGGCAAGGGGGACATCTATCCCCGGGCGCAGCATTCAAGGGGCTCCAAATTGATGCTACGAAATTTTTTGACGAAATGTTTTCCATTCTTCGCACACAGAAAGGGGCACAAATTCTTCAGTTGTCTCCGGGCGCTGGAAACTAGCTACGCCCCTGAGTCAAAGTCTTTAATCCAGACTTGTGGGGACTTCGGCGATTCCGGATTTTCCAGATTATAGATCATTAGTTTAAATCTGGTAAGATGGCATGCAGAAATTATAAAATTAAAAATATGAAACTCTAATTTATGAAATAAAAGCATTATGATCTAAAGGGTATAAAAATTTACAAAAAAAAGCTTAATATTTATTTGTTTACTTTATTAAACATTTCTTTCAATGCGTGCATGCGTAAAGCATACATTACGCATAGTCACAATTAGAAAATTGCAACTAGAAAACTATTTGATGTGTATTCGTGATATTTATAATGACGAGGAATTTGATTTAAATCATGTCAAAGACGGACTACATCGAGATGAAATACTACATTTAGTAAGAGAATGTCCAAAGCATTTTCCCAAATATAACATTTTTTCCTTATAATATAATATAATTAATATAATTAATAATATAATATAATAATATAATTTCTTTCTTTCTTTCTTCCTTCTTTTTTTTTTTTTTTTCTTTACGTTTTCGGCTTGCAAGCAATTTCACACAAATGCTGCTTTTTTAAATCTGGGGAAGCTATATTAAGGATGACAAAATACAGCACATGAATTTTCTTACCCCCAAAAGAAAATTAAACCCGCCTCCGAATTTTGTCTCCCACAGCACCTTTTTGATTAGACTAGTCTGTTTCACAGCACAACAAATTTTGGTAAAAATATATTTACAGGTGCCCCTTGGTGAAAATTGACACCTTTTGGCAGTATATGGATACCGAGTTTGTGCAATTCTTTGTTTTGTTATTTTGGCTTTGTGTAGCAGGGATTTTTGGTACACATCGACCTATTTTCACGTAAAAAAATTGGAGAATTGCACAAGCTTGTCATTGTGCACTCCCTTGACTTCGTCCATGTACACATCAATCTATTTTCACTTAAAAAGTCATAGGAGCAGCCAACAAAAAATATATAATCTGAATAAACTACATTTTAAACAATCAAATAACAGAAAAAAGGAAAATCATCTTAGCACTACATAAAGAAAATATGGGTTGATCTTTACTGTATGGCACCCCTTGGTTTACATACATACATAGCATAGAATTGCCTTTCAGATGACGACTTTGGACACCTAACAGTAAATCATAGTCTGCAATTCAGATACAGGTGCCAGCATTAATAGAACAGAAAAAACATGGAGCGCAGTTTAATGGGAGGGCAAGTTGGCCTATTATTTGGCCAAATATGTGTGGCGCAAGAAGGCCCAGGGAAGAAAAAAAAAATTATTTATGGCCTTCTTGGATGCTATTATACGAACTTATCTGCCATTAACAGTGGATGAGCCGAAGCAACAAAAAATTTAATTGAATTGCTTACGTGGAGGACGGAGAAGATGGTGGTGGAAAGCGCGAATGTATGCATGCGAAAAAAAGGTATGTTAAAAATTAGTGTTTCATTTACTTATTCATCTCTGTGTGTTAATTTTTGTTAAAAGATTTGTTGTTTAATGTTTTTAAGTTAGGAAATATGAATTTTGGGTTATTTATTGATCTCTATATATTTTTGGTTATTTGTTCATCTCCAAGTGTTAAGACAGTGGCGAATTTTTTCTGGTTCACATGATAGTTTTAATTTTGTTTTAGCTTCCTGCTTTTGTTTAAGTGAAAATAGATCGATGTGTACATCAACAAAGTTAAGGCAGCCTAATGCCTAGTTTGTGCAATTTTCTGACTTTTTTTTTTAAGTTAAAATAGGTCAATGTGTACATGGACACAAAATTTGTATTAAGTCCTTGACTTCTTGTTTTGGGTTTGTGTAGCGGGCGGAAGGATCGGCACCATCTTGAAATTGGTAAGATGGTACCGATGCTTTCTGGCGGCGATTTTGCGGAGAAAAAAACAGATGATTCACAAGGGGTACCACAGAGTAAATTTTAACTGAAATATCCATTTACTTTACTTACAAATTTTCCTGTCTTCAGTCAAACAAAATTCCTTAACAGCATCCAGAAACTTCTTAAAATTATCTGAACTAGAATCTGTATACTCGTATCACCACAGCCACATAAATTCGCAAAGATAAGAGTAAAAAATATCCTCTGGCGTTCAATCATACTCATTTCCTTCCTATAAATAGGGCACTTATAATGGCTACTAACTAAACCTTCATTTACACACCAGTCAATTAATGCTCTTTTCCCCTTTCATACCAAATTGTACAGAAACTTCAAATTAATCTCAGCACACTCAGCCATTTTACCATCTAAACCACAAAACAAGGAACAAACTTCCTAACCAACACACACCACAAGCCCTTACAAATCTTCTCCCATCATTCAAATTCACTGCAATCATGCAACCAATTACATCAAAATAGGGCTTCCATAACATTCAACTCCTCAGGTTATCATAAATGTAACAACAACTTGGCGATAAATGAAACAACTTCATGATAATACAAGGGGCACCCTTAAATCTACTCCAACCCAAATTTTATTTTCTGTTAGATTTTCTTTTTCTATCTATGTGGCATACAAATGTGTATGTAATAAATACGTTCTCAGTAACTTACTTGATACCTGGCAAGCAAGTCTGATAAAAATGACAAAGACTTAAGGAACATCACTCTCAAAACTGATCTAAAGTTTCATTTAAGATTTATGCCAAAAGTCGCTTTATGAACAGTTTAAAAAACTTGCACATGATTTGATACTGAACACACACATATAATTCTTGACTTAAAAATCATCACAATCAATAAAAGGCTTTACAAAAAAATCTAAATTATATTCCAAATAATGGACAAATAAGATAATACAGTCAAAAGTCGTTAATTCGGACACCCATAATCCGGACCTCAAAGCTAAAAACTTTCTGCGCATGCGCCGCGTTGGCACATGCGCACAGACGTTTTATGCGTGCGCGCAAGACCTTGACTACTGCGCATATGCGTGTGCGCAAGTGCAGAATACCTTTTCGCCTGCGCGTTTAATGTATAATGGACGGTGTAAGCTAAAATTATCTAATTATCTATCTCAGTTAATGTTAATGATTGCGTTGTTCCTTAATCTTCGAATTGGATCCCGCTTATTATTTTTTGCAGACTGTAAGAGCAATTTTATAAAAGTAAACTTGAACTTTCGATTATGTCAAATAGAATTTTCCGATGCTGGAACTTCAAAGGATCTACAAAACGAAAGTATGTTTTCGAATGTCCAACAAACAAAAAGTGGAATTGCTGCAAAAAAATGGATACAAGACATGAAGAATGTACAGAGAGGTTAGTGAAAACGAAAAAATTTCGATTGACAAGTTAGTCGGTATTCTCAGCACAGCAATTAATGGGACTCGAACAGCGGAACTTTGTAACTGAACAAGAAATTATGTCTGTTTATAGAATTAAAGAGAAAGTATTATTACATAAAATGAAGCAATTTAAACAACTTACATTGAAAAAAATGTTTAATAAAGTAAACAAATAAATATTAAGCTTTAAAAAAAGCTTATATTTTGTAAATTTTGATACCCTTTAGATCATAATTGTTCTTTATTTCATAAATTACGGTTTCATATTTTTAATTTTAGAATTTCTGCATGCCATCTTACGAGATTTAAACTGATGACCTATAATCCGGAAAAATCGTTAATCCGGAATCGCCGAAGTCCCGACGAGTCCGGATTAACGACTTTTGACTGTATTAAGTAATTCACTAACAAACGAATCAGGAACAAAATTCAAAGATTATAGTAAGTTAATTTCGTTACTTACTTGCTTTCCTGTAAGGGTGAAAACTTTACGAACAGCTCCTGTATCCAGTTTTATGGCATCTGTAATATCATTTAACACTTGATCAAAAGAATGAGCAGTTTTTTTGTTGAGTAAGATACGAACAGCTTTCCTGGGTTTGACACCATTCCTAATAATTGTAACTAATTTCGGCCGAATAAAGTCTCTAGATTCTCTGTTTAAACCATCAATCTCCCACTTACTGGACACATTTTCATCTAATTTTTTTGTAACACTCCAATGAGGTTTCTCATTTTTTAAATAATCTAATTTAATAAAATGATCAGTTGAAGAACATACATAACTGCTCCCTTCAACAAGATGTTCAAGAGATAAAATTTTCTCTTTTCCATCAATGCTAAATATGTATCGCACACCTTTTGGCAAGTTCACTTTGTCAACCAGAACCCTTGTAAGATCTTCCAAAAGAGAATCAAATGACCGAATACGTTCAACGGATAGAACGTACAGAAGGCCCTTAAAAAATTTATCACCATTCCGAAAAAATCGCACTTTTTTTGCTTTTTTTTCTTGAATTAATTTCTTTAGACTTGTCCGCATGAGACCCTGCGCACTGTGAGTAGGGCTTACTCTACCACTCCGTGATGTACGGTACCCTTCATCTTTTTTCTCTTCCGATGGGGTATGCAATTCTTCTACTCTACCTGGAGAGGCAGTGAAATGCTCATTTTCAGTACTTGTAGCCATGACCTAAAAATGAAGAAAAAGGATAAAATATAAGAGAGATATAACAAAGCTATGAAAAGTACTTAATGCATCTATACATAATAAATATCAAGTGATCTCGGTTTATATTAATTCATTACAGCAAAGTACTTGAAAGCTATCTGCCTAAAGAGGATTTTTCTTTATTCGACTTCCTGAGTGAAACCAATTCATGTTACCTATGAAGAAAATTATAAAACTGCCATGAAGACTACATGTTTAACTGATTATAACAGAACTCAAAAGGAACTACACAACTATCAGCATTTGACAGTTTGAGCCACTCAGGCTCTATTTGGCTAACTTACATCTGAAGTAATTAAATGACAGCTTTAAAAAATACGAGTCTGATAGGGTAACAATATTAACAACAGAAACAGCAAAAGAAGAGAGAAAATTACTTTATAAAAGAAAGCTTCACAGATAATATCTCTTACTAACTGTTAGACACTGGGTCAGTTTGCGTGTTCATGTACAAATGTATATATGTAAGTAGGAATGAATATACTCATATAAGCACATACATACAAACCACACGTTCACACATTTCTGAATCCAGTCCTGATAACAGAACAGTAATGTCTCATTAAGAAACGAGACATTGTTAAATCTTAGATTTCTTTTCTTAATTTAGCAAATTAATCTTTAATTTAATGTTAAATAACAAGTATTTAAATATTATATGGGCTAATCTTTGGAATATGGTAACAGATAGTTTGGCAACATTTTGGTAAGGCGATAAAGGTTACTAGCTAGGACCTTTAGCAGTGTACACGGATAAAGTCAAGATTGCACGCAATGTCATTTTTGTGAAATTCTGGGATGTTTTTTTAAGTGAAAATAGGTCGACGTGTACATGGATGATACCGTGTATGTGCAATTCTTAAAAATGCGGCAAGCAGTGGGCGATTCTGCACTTTCTCCCAATTTCGCACCTAATCTTCGTCACGATTAAGCATTTTTGTTTCATAAAAGTTCTAGTATAAGCGTAATTCGGCTAGCAGATTGTCGGAAAAAGTGTTGAGTAAAAAAAAAAAAAGCCTTTATTTCGTGAAAGCAAAATGGCGTCCAAAACAAAACTAGCAGGTTGCTGCAGCAGCAGGGTTGGTCGCCAAATTTTCACCAAAAATCGCTAAGTTACCATAATCCAAAGATTAACCCTAATTTTTATTAATTTAATGTGTGTGTTTATTTATATTTTAAATAGTGTTTTTAATTTAATTATATTTTAATTAAATGATAGTGATTTTGTGAATTATATGCTTGTAGCATTTTGGAATATGTTTTAGTAGAAGTAAACGTGCATGGAAATAATTTAAATATTTGATACTAAGTATTGTTCTTTTTACCTAAACGTGCATGGAAATAATTTAAATATTTGACACTAAATATACATCTTTCTTACCAACTTTAAAGATTCACAAAATTTTGCTGCATTTTCGTGCAAATTTTTCTAATTTATGAGAAAAAAGCAGTGTACATGGATAAAGTCAAGAGTGTGCACAATGCCATTTTTGTGCAATTCTGGGATTTTTTTTAAGTGAAAATAGGTCCACGTGTACATGGTTACCGTGTATGTGCCATTCTTAAAAACGCGTCAAGGAGTTTGCGATTCTGCACTTTCTCCCAATTTTGCAGTTAATATTTATCATGATTAAGCACTTCTGTTCCATAAAATTTCTAGCATAAGCGTAATTTGGCTAGCAGATTGTTGGAAAAAATATTGAGTAAATAAGAAAAAAGAAACCTCTCTTTACTTCGTGAAGATAAAATGGCACCGAAAAAAAAGTAGGAGGTTGCTGTAGCAGGGTTGGTTACCAAATTTTCGCCAAGTTACCATAATCCAAAGATTAAACATTATATGTATATAACTAGTTTAAGGAAAACAAAATAGCAATACTAATTAATTTTAAACAAAAATTTAAGAAAGACCCCCCCCTTTTTTTAAAATCACTAGTATAGTAATTGCATCTGTGGTTGAAAAATTCAAGTATATCATTACAATGAATGAAAAGTTTGGTTTTCTTTTAAATTGATATGAATTCCCCCCCCAATTATAAATCTATACGAATTGTTTTGTTTCTTAACGTATATATGATAAAGATTTACCTAGTGAATTACAAATAATAATTAAATGAATTCCTAGAAATTTATTAGATGTATCATACATATACAAAAATAAACAGAAAGTAAATTTCCCAGTAGATTTATTGCTCAGATAAATTTTTTGACTTTAGTAGTAAGTTCAGGCAGTCATTTCACGATGGCTCACTTATGATCCACTTGTTCAATTCTACACAGCACAACACTGCAACATAGAACATATGAATTCTTCCATTCATATATTCATATGAATGGAAGAATTCATATGTTCTATGTTGCCACCAAATTAAGTGGTACAGGAGATAAGAAAGGCTGAACACTAGTGGATCTGGATTTAAATTCTGGTGAACTGGGTGGTTTTTTAGGATTTTTTACATGAATAAATGAGAATATAAGCAAGGTTTCCTTAGAAAGTTTTCCATGGAAACATCCCTCCCTTTACTGCAGATAACCTGATAATGCTTCACTGTAATCAAATTATTCAGTTTAAGATATAATGTACTTCCCATTTAATTGCATTATCTGTAATTACTTACGCATACAAATGCATCGGTCTAAATTCATACTTATTTAATATTAATAATTGCCATTTTGTAGATGAAATTAAGATGATCAACACAAAGTGCAATCAAAGTGATTAACAATTATTAAAATAAAAAGTCACTGATGCCTAAATTTAAAAGTTTTGGATACATAATAACACCTACGAACTGGATACTACATACAAATATATGTATTATGGTTTAATGTACAAATACAAGATACATATATACCATGTCCACAAAATCTTTACCCAGCTTTTAAAAAGTGTTTTAAATGATGCAAATATTTACACACTCGCATTTTCTAATTAAAAAATAAATTTTGCAAAAAATTATGAAATTAACCTTTCATAGCCCCTTTCCAGTCCCTATATTATATTTAAGAAAAATGTTAGACTAAGGATAAAAAAATACAAAGAGCGTGAATCATGTACAATAAAAAATTGACAAGCTATTTAATTTTTTAATGCTTCAGATAACTTTTCTTCAAAACTCAGGAGTCATATACAAATTGTACAGAACAATATTAAATTTTTTTTTGTAACTAAAAATACAACATCAGCTCAGGAAAAGGTCTTCGATGTTGATGGATTAAGTAACAAGCATGGTCTCTGATGTTGACGGATTAAGTTAAAAAATGCAGGCTGGCATAAAAAATTTTTATCAGAAAAATTTTAAAGAGATTTTAATTTTTAGTGTAGAATATATATATCAAAAGTCCATACCAAAATAATCCTATAAATGAAAGAATCACGCTGTATACTCTTTTGAATAATAAGAAAAATAAAAGATGGAACAATGCTTTTAATAATCAATTAATTAGATATTTCAGAAACTGTTGAATAAAACTATTGTAAAATCAAGATAATAAAAACCAGAGCAAGAAAAAATCTCCTGCTTGATAGTACACAATGAAAAAAAAAAAAAAAAAAAAAAAAAAAAAATATATTTACAGCACAAAGTCTTTAAACCCAGACTCGTCCAGACTTCGGCAATTCCGGATTATAGATCATCAATTTAAAACTGGTAAGATGGCATGCAGAAATTCTAAAATTAAAAATATGAAACCGTAATTTATGAAATAAAGAGCAATTATGATCTAAAGGGTATCGAAATTTACAAAAAAAAAAAAAAGCTTAATATTTGTTTACTTTATTAAACATTTCTTTCAATGTAAGTTGCTTCATTTTATGCGCTAATACTTTCTCTTTAATTTTATAAACAGACATAATTTCTTGTTCAGTTACAAAGTTCCGCTGTTCAAGTCCTGTAATTGCTGTGCCGAGAATACCGACTAACTTGCCAATCAAAATTTTTTCATTTCCACTAACCTCTTTGTCACTTTCTTCATGCCTTTATCCATTTATTGCAGCAATTCCACTTTTTGTTTGATGAAAATCGAAGCATGCTTTTGCTTTATAGATCCTTTGACAGCTGCAGAATCGAAAACTCTTTTTGACATAATCGAAAGTTTAAGCTTACTTTTTATAAAATTGCTCTCTAACAATCTGCAAAAAATAATAAGCCAAATCCAATTAGAAGATTAAGGGAACAGCGCAATCTGCAACATTAACTGAAATAGATAATTTTAGCCTAGCTTATACCATCCGTTACATTAAACGTGCATGCGTAAACGCTACACATGCGCAGAAGGTTTGTAGCTTTGAGGTCCGCATTATAGATCATTCCGGACTATGGATGTCCGGATTAAAGACTTTGTACTGTATTCATGAAAATGAAAAACAAACATATTATTATTAATATAAATGGCACTACACATAAACTCCTAGCTATTGTACGACTGAGCAGATCCATATGACCCTTTGATAAACTTTATTTTTTAAAACTCCCAGAGAGAAAAAAAAAAAGCGAATGGATTTAAGTCAGGTGACTGAATTCACTGAATCTCCATATCCAATAGTATTAGTTCCAAATGTATACCTCAAAAATTACATGGCTTCGCAGATTTATCTGCTGGAGCATCACCATGCTGAAACCATAAAGTAGATAAATCTTTAAATGAGGCATTATTTATTAAAAAGGCAGACAATAATCCATTTATTATTTTTTATTAAATTTATATGTACTTCTTGGCAATTAAAACGCCATGACATGAATGGTCGGTACTTTTCCGTTTTGCCGGCGCAATCCATAAAGTCGCCAACAATGGTACAACTGATGCCAAACGGAATATCTTCGCTGGTAACCTTTTATGCCTCATTTCCAAAACAAGTCGTAGCCATTTCTTATCAGATTGATTGTTTCTTTCAATACTGGCATACAATTACATAGAATTTTTACAAGATAGTTAAATGTTATGCCCTAAGACCATTCGCAGTA